AGGTAGGTAGTACCTGTATTTTTATCCCCATTTTACAGATGAGAAGACTGAAAGTAAAATGTCTTGTTCCAAGATCACATTACTAAGAAATGAAGTCCTGGGAATTGAAGCTAAGTATTCTGATTATAAATCCCATATATATTTCACTATACCACCTAACAACAATGACAACAACAACGCTTCCCATTTGTAGTAGGTCTATTTACTATCCTTTGCATATGAACATGATTCTATTGATTAGTAAGACATAAGTTTAAATTATTTTTTTTTCCAGGAGTAAGACTGAGTTAGGCTGCACCATTAATTCTAGGTGACTGGCTTGGGTTTGCAAGTTGACCTGGTAGATTTTAAATCAATCATCTTTCTCATGTTTGAGAATCATCTCATAAATGAATTCAGACCGCTATTCTCCCAAATAAACCAATCTCTTTCCTTTTTGTCTAGAGCTATGATTTCATTGGTATTAGGATTTCCCAGGTAAAGAAACTCCCTCTATCCATGTAGATCAGCAAACTGTGAAAGATTTAATAGTCTTAGAGAGTTGCTTAGGATATTGAATGACTAAGTGACTTGCCCATGGATGCAGAACCAGTATGAATCAGAGGTAGAACTTGAACCCAAATCTTCTAAGCAGCTAGTTGGTATAATAGATAGAGCACTGGACCTGGATCAGGAAGATCTGAGTTCTGATCTTCTCTCAGATATTTGCTAGCTGGGCAAATCACTTGCTCTCTATCTCAATTGCTATATCTGTAAAATGGGGATAATAAAAGCACCTATCTCCCAGAGTTGTTGTAGAGATAAAAGGAGGTATTTTAAAGCGCTTTGCAAACCTTAAAATACTATATAATTGCTAGCTTCCTCCTCCTCCTCCTCCTCCTTCTCCCCCAGATCCCTAGTTCTTCTGGAGATATCCCAAAGTTCCCTTCCCCTCTAACCCCTGAAACCACTGTCTTCTTAGTTGTGGACTCTCACCTGCCATTATCCCCCAGATCCTCTGGCACATCTACACTGCTGCTTTCCCAGCCCAAGCACTGCTTGGTCTTCTCATCTGTCTTCCAGGAACTGAACATAAACATGAACTCTCCTCTATGTGTTGTCTTCTCAATTAGAATGTGAGCTCCTTGAGAATTAAGGATACCTCAATTTTCTATTTGTATCTCTTAGCACAATGTTTGGTCCATAGAAAATGCTTAATCATGCTTCTCCATTCCATTCCATGAGCAGAAGAAGCTGAGAGAGTTCTGGGCCAGTAGGATAAAAGCTTAGGTTCTCCTACCAGGAAACTTTTCCCTCAGCTATAACGCTAGATCAGCTGGCCAGTAATGTACTTGGTAGAACACAGCAAGAAGATTTTTCTCTCCAAAAGTCTGCCACTCCGATATGGAGAAACTAAGCCCAGGAGCTTTGTAATTCTAGTACTGATTTCCCAGTATACCCCAAGAGAGGTACAAGGTTCCCTACCATCTGCTCCAACTAAATTCTGATCTCTCCCCCTGCGGTGGGAGACAGAAGGGCCACATTTATTTATATCCTTTTAGAATTAGTTTTTTGTGTGTACCTTTAAATATCTCACTGATGCTCTTTTCCATTAATTTTTTTTTTGCATCTCTAGCACTACCTACTAACTCACTGCTCCCACCTCCTCAATAGAAGCCCTCCCTTGTAACGAATAAATATAATCAAGAAAAACAAACCAACTTGTTGATCATGTCTTTAAATATATGTCTCATTCTGTCTCTCTCATCCATCACCCCTCTGCCAAGATGAGGGAGGCCTGCCGTATCATCAGTCTTTTACAGTCCTCATTGGCCACTGCTTTGATATGAGATCTGAAGTCTTTCCAAGCACTTATCCTTTGCATTATTGTGCAATGGTCTGGTAAATCATTGCTCTTCTTCTAATCATTTCACTCTTTATTTTTAATGAATTTTTCTACTATTTATCTTGCTTTTCTGTTTTTCTATTTCTATTGACAAATTGATTTTAAGATGTTTGCATCTTAAAATTTTCTAATTTTAGTTAATTTTTTCTATTTGTCTATTTTTAGTAAATTTTCCTTTTTTAACTAGTTGTTATAATACATGTTATATGACATATTCACTAGTCTGGGGAGGGGGTAAAGAAAATAGACATTGGCAGTCAAGATAATTTATTTGGATACTTAGATAGCCAGAACTATTTAGATTTAGGAAAGAAACAGAACAAACACATTACATAAAATAACCTTTAGGTTAATATTGAAATAATGAAACTTCCTAATGCTGATGCAGGAATCAATTTCCTATCCCTCTCCCTATGTGACAAGGACACTAAAGAGTAGGAGGAGAACCAAGAAAAAGTGGTGTCATGAAAACTTAGGAAGAAGAGAGTGACTAACCCAATTCAATCCCATAAACATTTATTAAGTGCCTACTATGTGCCAGGTACCATATTGAGTTCTAGGGATACAATTAATAAAAAGAAAGCCCCTACCCTCAAAGAGCTTACAATCTAATGAAGTGAGATGACACACAAAAGGAAATAAGGAAGTCAGTGGAGGTGGGAGAAGGGTGAGTAACATGGGGTGGGGGTGGGGTGAACCCCATTTGAAGGCATCTTGTTCTGTGGTGTTGAAACCAGGTGGAGCATCAGAGCAGCACTTGATCCTATTCAACAATGAAAGCCATTCTATGTTGTCAATCAAGCACTCCCTAACCCACCCACCCTCCCACCTCTCAGGTGCACCACCAAACACCAGAGGATGCTCGGAGGTATTAGCTCAGCTTCTTATGACCCTTCTAGGCTCTCCAAGAGCTAGCTGCCACTAATCCCTTAGTTCTGCCTTTTTGTGGGTGCTTAGTCTAAGGTTAGTTGTAAATTATTTAGTCATACCGTGCCTAAGAACTCATCTTCCCTTCAATGCTTACTCCACTGAGTCTCCCTTAAAATTCCTAGATGGTGTAATTTTGTGCAGCTTTTTAATCAGACTATTAGAAATAAATAAAACAAGTCAAATCAATTCAACAAGCATTTATTAAGTGCCTACTGTATGCCAGACACTATGCTAAGTTCTATAATACAAAGAAAGGCAAAAACAATCTTTCCTCTCAAAAAAGCTTACATTGTAATATGGGAAATATACAAAAGTTATACAAAGTATAAATTGGAAATAAACTTGAGGGTAGGTACTGACAATAAGGAGAATTGGCAATGGCTTCTGGAAAAAGGTGCCATTTTACCTAGAACATGGAGGAAATCAGGGAAGTCAGGAAAGACAATAAGGAGGGAGAGCATTCCAGGCATGAGAGAGAACTAGTGGAAATTCATGGAGTCTGGAAGTGGGGTGTTTTATGGTAAGAACCTCAGAGAGGGCCACCATCACTGGATCATAGTGTATGTGGAGGGAGTGAGATGTAAAAAAACTGGAAAGGTAGAAGCCAAGTGGTGAAGGGCTTTAGAAGAGAGAGAATTTTCTATTGAATCCTAGAGGTTGTAGGAAGCCACTGCAATATATTGAATAGTAGGGTGACATAGTCAGATCTGCATGTCAAGGAGGTCATTTTGACTCAGAATGGAAGATGGGCTGGAGTGGGCAGACACTTGAGGGCAGGGAGACCAACCAACCCAAAGGTTATTATAATAGTGCGGGTATGAGGGCTGGGACATTAAGGTCTGCATCAGGGTAGTGACAGACTTAGAGGACAGAAAGGGACAGATAGGAGAGGTATTTCAAAGGTAGAATTGACAGGATGGGGAAACTTTGGTAGAATTGAGTTAGCTACTGATTGGATATGGGGAAAAAGAGAGAGAATAAGGAATCATGGCTGACACCTAGGTTTCTAGCCTGGGAGAGTAAGAGAATGTTGGGGCCCTCAATAGTAATAAGAAAGTGCAGAAGAGGAGAGTTTTTGGAAAGAAAACATAATGAGTTCACTTTTGACAAGTTGATTTTAAGACATGTGCAGCTCATCCAATTCTAGATATGCAATAGGCATTTGGAGATGTGAGAACAGGAAAAAGGTTAGGGCTTGATAAACAGATCTGAGAATCAGCATAGAGATGATAATTTAATCCACAGAAGCTGAGAAGTAGTATAGAGGGCAAAGAGAAGAGATCCCAGGGCACTGCCTTGGAAGACACTCCTGGTTAAAGACATATTAAAGGAGACTGGAGTGGTCAGACAGGTAGAAGGAGAACCAGGAGAAACTTAGAGAGAAGAGAGTATCAAGGAGAAGAGGGTAAGCAACAGTGTCAACAGCTGCAGAGAAGTCAAGGAGAATGAGGATTGAAAAAAGGCAATTAGATTTTGCAATTAAAAGATTATTAGTAACATTGGAGAGAGCCAAGTCAGTTGAATGATGACGTTGGAAGCCAGAGTGAAAAGTTAAGAATAGAGTAAAAGAAAAGGAAGTGAAGGTACCTATTGTGCCTGATCATGGTCTCAATGGGTTTAGCTACAAAAAGGAGAGACATAGGATGAATAGATCAAATGAGGGTTTTTTGAGGATAGGAGAGACATGGACATGTTTGCAGGATGCAGGGAAGCAGTCAGTAACTAGGGAGAAGTTAAAGACTAATGAAAGAGTGGAGATGATAGATGGGGCAATTTGCTGAAGGAAACAGGATGGAATGGGACCACCTGTTTTTTTCTTTGTCATTCAGAAGGGCCACTGTTGGGGAAATTTTCTCATGGGAGAGTTGTTGGGGTAAGTTTCTCATGGGAGTTCTAGCTTCTCTCAGCAGAAGCTGAGGGTCACAACCCTTTGCGTGACCAAAATAAGGAAGCCTCAACAAGACCTCTCCTTTGCTGACACTCAGCTCTCACGGTTGGCTTGGCTCTCCTCTCATTGGGAGATGAGTCCTAACACGAGCTCCTACAGACTTGGGGATTGGCTATCACAAGGGGATCACGCTTTGAACATGCATCACTAGGGCTATAAAAGACAGCTACCTGCATTCAATAAACGGAGCTTCTGCCATCTTGCTGTCTCCCGCCTCATCCATGCGTCTCCGGGTTACTGAGCACTGAGCTGGTCTCATGCTCTCCACTGCAGCGGCCGCGACAACTGGCGCCCAACGTGGGGCAGATCGATGACAGGCCTGACAGATACCCCACGGGCAGAGTCTAAACTCCATGAATAGCGCGTCAGCAAGCTTCGAGCTTTCAGCCCGAGGATTCGGGTCTCCTAGACGTTTCCGTCCTTGGGGGTCGGAGAAGGTAAAGGTTTCGCTTTACACAATGGGGCAAAATATAGGGCTTCTCCTTCCCACAGATGAGGAGAATTACGCCAGAGCTTTATATAAGGTAGCGAAGAATGAGGGAATAACGATACACCTAAAAGATCTTAGAAAATTTGTGAGGTTGGCTTTTCAGGTATTCCCCTGGCTCCCGGAACAGGGTTACTTTGAGCCAGGGAGATGGAAGGTGTTTGGGGAGCAGCTGTCTCATATGATGGTACTTGCCCTGGAAAAGTTAGGCTTTTAGACTATATCATCTACAATCTTGTAAAACATGTTCTGATGAATCAAAAGCAAAGAGAAGTCCGGTGCTTTCCAGTCTGTACTCAGACAGGTTCCTCCCTCCCCTCCCCCTCTGCGAGCAGACCTTACTCTCCTAAACTAAGAGAGGATCTCGCAGACCTCCCTCTCTGGTCACCCCCAGGACACTATTCAAACTTGTATCCCAACAGGCCACCTCTACATGAGAGACAGGGCTGAAGGAGGAGATAGTGAAGGAAGATATCCGATTAAAAAGAGATAAGGAAGAGGGGAAAAAGGGGAGTTCTCACCAAAGGTCCTCAATTTTTTTTTTAATGAAATATGAGGCAAAGTTCTCAGCTGACAAGGTGGGGGTGGGGCACAGGAGGTTTGAGTAATGATGAAGTGATTTAAAAAGGCTTCGTAGTGACTGGGATAATGAGTCAATTATGGAGGTGGGAAAGATTGCCTTGCTGCAGTGAGGGTTCAGTTGAGAATCTGTAACATAAATTTTATAGTGACCTGATCAGCATGACTTTGTCATTTTTTCCAGTTTTGTCCAGCATCACATGAGTAGGAGTGAAGGCAATAGATGAAGGAAGTAATCCAAGTCTAAGGTTTAGAAAGATAAGATTGGCGATAGGATAAGGGGACAACAGACTTGAAAGAAGACAGTATAGAATTAATCTGGTTCACCAAAGGGTCAAGATGGGGAAGGGAGAAGAGTATAACTGATAGCCTGGGAAAGGATGGAGGGAGAGCATGGTAAAGACAAAGAACAGGGTTAGGGGTTTAAAGGCAGAGGGAGAAGTGAAAGGAAAACAAATTGTTATTAGATAAGAGAATTTCAGGGTTCATGAACAAAGAAGTGGAATGCTTGTGAGCAGTGGCAAGGTCAAAAGTATGACCATATCTGTGTGTACCTGTAGAGGGGTGGAGGGTCCTGGAAAATAAGCAAGCTGAGGAACAAGGAGGTTATGGTTTTGAGGGCATATCAATATTTATGTTGACATCCCTTAGTATGAGGGCAGGAATTAAGGAGGGGAGAAAGACCTAGCCAGGCACTGAACTAATCGAGAAAGTAAGGAGAGTGTCCTAGAGGTCAGTAGACAACCATTATCATAATCTTTATTGGGTTATAAATATGAATTGAATACACTTGAAAGGAGGAGAGGTTACTACATGATAGTAGAAGAGGAAGACTCTGGAATGACAAGCAATATCCCCACTACCTCACCATGAATGAGTGAAGGTATAACCAGTGCTTGAAAGGGTAGGCAGTAAAGCTGTGTCATTAAGAGGAAAAGGTTTAAGATAAAACCAAGGTTGTTACCTATGGAGCAGGCAGCCCAGAGAGCACAGTAGTAGAAGGGATAGATAGCTTTAGAGTGGGATATTGGGAGAGGCAGTGTCTTGAAGAGAACCCAGAATAAGGGAGTAGGCAGTGGGGTGGGGATGGATAACAGGGTTTGATGGGGAGTTCAGAATCGCACAGCACACACGCTCCCCAGCCTACACTCCTCCTTAGTCCTTTGTAGCAGCCCCTGCAGCAACAGGCAGGCCAGACCCTTCTCAACAACTCATGGAGGGAAGCTGGTAATGTAATCATCCAGGGTTTTTCACTCCCAGCAAAACCACCTGTGATCAATCAGTATCCAGTCCTTTGTTACAATATAGGAACTTGAAGAGTCCTGAAGTGGTCTCTGGCTCCCTCAGTAGTGTGTTGTTAATTATGTCACTGTCTGTCCCTCTCCTATCAGACAAGCATAAGAGTGGTGCTGACACACATACACACAAACACACGCACGCACCGTAAATCTCCTGGATGTCATTGCCCTGCCTAAGCCACTGAAGAGGGAGAAGGCCAGGCTTCACTCATAGGATATCATTTGCTCTTCTCTCCCTCTCCATGGGCCAACTCACCCCCTGTCAATCCCTTGCCCCAGCTTCCTTCCTCACAGCACCGTAGCCTGACTCTGTGCTCATCACCCATACCGGTTCCTGGACATATATGTGTGGGCCGGCATGGACACTGTCCTCTCTCAATGAAAAGCTTGAAGTTCCAGCACATTACAAGGGGTATGCTTGGCCTTTTGTGACTATACATCATTAGCATCATCATTTTGCATCTAGCATAGCAATTGGTAACCATCTCATCTACATAGTACAATGCATTTGCAAATACCATGCAAAAACATGGATGGCATTCTTATTAGAATTGAATGCAGCTAGCGATAGAACCAGAAGCACACATACGATAAACAATAATTATGACAATATTGGTATATATTAGACCAAGGACAGAAGTTTCAAGCAGTATGGTTTCATACAGAGACAAATACATGGAAACATACTATATGTAGCAAAGTTACATTCCATAACACTACATTTTCTGACACACAAAGGCAACATTGCATGGAGAGGCAGTACGGCATAATGTCTAGAAAGCTGGTCTCAGAGTCAGGAAGACCTGAATCCAAATCCTGCCTCTGACATATACTGACAATGTGACCCTGGCCTTAACCTCTCAGTGCACTAGGCAAGCCTCTAAGTCTTTTAAGTTACAGATCAAATATAGTTCTGTATTTCTCCAGGGAGTTTCCTCCCTATGAATTTCCAATATGGATGAAATCACAGGTCTCATCAACACCACCTCCCAACACTGCAAATTAATATGTACATATATGCACACATATACATGCATGCATATGTATGGACAGCTAGGTGGCACAGTGGATAGAATGCCAGTCCTGGAGTCAGGAGGACCTGAGTTCAAATTTGACCTCAGACAGTTACTAGCCATGTGACCTTGGGCAAGTCACTTACCCCCTTGTTGCCTCAGTTCTTTGTCTGTAAAAGGGGGACATACTAGAGAAGGGAAATAGCAAACCACTCCAGTATCTCTGCCAAGAAAACTCCAAAAGGGTCACAAAGAGTCTGGCACTACTGAAAAACAAGTGAACACATGCTGTATGTATATGATATACTCATATATTGTATGTTACATGTTATAAACAGCAAAGAAGCACAACACAGGATATTGCAAAGCATGGGTCATGTGTAACATATAAGAACATGTTACAATTACACACAAAACACACATTATATGCATTCTCCATCATTTAGGTATATGAGTAATCCCAAATGCCTCATAAGTAGGATCGGTCACCAGCAAGTGTGTTTGGCGATGGCCCAGGCTGACTGTGGGCATCCCCAGATCTGCTGGCCTGGAGTCACTACCTTGAGCTTGACTTGTGGCTGTCTCGGGTCTCTACGGGTGCCCTCCGGTCCCTTGGTGTCTAATGTTCCCCTGGGGAGCTCTATAACTCGCGACTTGGGCTTCAGAGGACACAAACATCTACCTCTCAGTAAAGGTTCAAAGTTTGTTGCCCAGCAAAGTTCCACACCACCCAACCCCCACCCCAAGGAATCACACCATCAACTTGGCTTCAGCCCCAAAGTTGGCTATTCCCACTAAGTCTCGGAGGCAGAGGCACATCTTCTCTGTCTGCTTCCTCAACTTGCCAGTGACAGCTTTGCTGAACTATAAAAGTACTTCCTTTTCTGTCCACTTGACTGATCCGGGGAGGTAAACCTCTGAACCAGAACCGGGTGTGAGCCAAACCACAAAGAACCCAACTGTCTAGAACAGGTCTGGGCAAGTGTGAGATGCTCTGGTGTAAACCAAGAGGGGACTTTCATCATCAACCTCTGTTCCTTTTGGAAGCTCCCAGGCAAACTGGTTGCTAGGCAACCACTGATTTTTTTTTATGACCAACAAATATAAGCACATGAATCCTACATTAACTCGATAACAATACGGTTTTCTCTACAGGTTATGGTATAGCAGTCCCTTCATCAGCATGCTTGGAACTGGGAACCAGCCCTGAACAGCAAAGGCAAAACACCAAGGGTTCCAACCCCTCAGCATCTCTTGCATCTGCCTCCTTAGTCTAGGTCTTCATCATACCTTACCCTCACTACTGTAACAGCCTCATAGTAAGTTTTCCTGCATCCAGTCTCTTTCTTCCTCATCTACTGTCAAATTGATATTCCTAAAATATAGGTATGAGCTTGCCTTCCCCACCCCCACCTTGGAACTTCAGTGATTTCTCCCTGTTTTTAGAATAAAATGCAAACTTCTCTGGCTTTAAAAGCTCTCCATAATCTGTCTACAACTCATATTTCCAGAATGATTACACATTGCTCTCCATCATTTACTCTATACTCTAGCTAAGTTGCACTGCTTGCTGCTCCCTGTGCCAGGTTCATCTTTTGCCTCCATGCTTTTGCAAGGGCTTTCCTCATGCCTGTAAAACCTTCCTTCCTCACTTTGGTTTTTTGGAAACGCTAGCTTTCTTCCAGATTCAACCCCCACTCCCACTTCCTTCAAGCATGAGAAATATACGTATTTATATATATATATATATATATATATATATATATAAAAATAAAAATAGAGAGAGAGAGAGATGGACGTATATATAGATATATGTATGTATATGTTTATACACATGTATGTGTATGTGTATATACACATATTTTTGTTTTATATTATATTTTAACATTTTATTTAAATATATATACACAGACATGTTTGTATACATATACATATATAATATATAATTAATATGTTTTTATTTTATCTATGCATGTGTGTGTGCGCGCACGTGTGTACGTGTGTGTGTGTGTGTGTGTGTGTGTGCTCTTCCTATCTATGAACATATTGTAACTCCTTGAGGGAGAGACTATCTTACTTTTAGAAGTCTATTGCCAGTCTTCTCCAATGCCTGGCACACAGTAATTGCTTAATAAGTGATTGCAAATTAATTGTTGATTAATGCCAAAGGGGTCCCCTTCCCTTAGCCCCTTGTTCATATAGTTATTTTAGCATTTCAGACAGTTTCCACAGCTATTGCTTACCCAGACTCAGGTACGTAAATCCCAACTCCTTCCTCTGCTCTCAGGGATTCAGTTTCTATCTCCATAAAAAAGAAACCTTGGTTCTTGCCAGTAGATGCTTGGGGAGAGATTTAATTATTCAGCCTAAGATGTTGAAAATTCACCAGCTTCAGTCAGAAGATTAACCCCCCCATTCCCCCAAATCATACGATCCCAGAATCCTCCTTGCTTTTGTCAGTGAGGCCCAGTAGAAAAGATATCCATTTATCTGAGAGGAGAAATCCTAAGCAGAATCCTGATTTTATTTCAAAAATGACTCACATTCAGGTGCCTCAAAAGAAAGATTTACTATAATTCTTGCACTCACCGAATTAATGAGTCTTGGGAAATATCTAGTTTTTTGGATGGTCACTAGCAGCAAGATGGGGGTTGCTGACTCCGAGGTAAGAGGGTCAAGTTTTATCTAGTTCTGTTTCAAATTCAATTTGACTGCTTAACAGTAAAGATAAATTGAACCTGCAGAGAAAACTGAAAATAGCATTTTCTTAGCCTGCTTGTGACAGGCTCAATAGCTCCAGATTTATGAGGGGTGAATGACCTCTCTGCCTTGGTTTTCCACTTTCACTGTTTGCAGGACTGAATTTACATCTGGGCAGATAGGAGCCTTGGGCCACTGGATCAAACAGAGCCAGTAGCCTTGACTGGGACTGGCTGCACATGTTTGTGAACTGGGAGAAACAATTAGGAAACAACCACCTGATCCATCCTCCCCACCTGGAAGATCAGTGACCTTAATTTCTCCACAGGTGGAGCAGAAGTAGAGTTTATATATTTAGCTCTTAACTACCCCCTTACATTTGTGATTGCCCCTTTATCCTAGACAGTCCTTTGCTTGGCTCTCTAAACCAGGGGGTTCTTAACCTTGCGATTCATGAATAGATTTCAGAGAGGGAGTATCCATTAAATTGAATGGGGGGGATTTTTCATCTTCATTTGCAATAACCTCTAACTACACTTTGCATTTCGTTCAATTACTTTAAAACATTATTTTAAGAAGGGGGGCAGATTGCCAAAGGACTCTGCTACAAAAACAAACAAACAAAAAACACTTAAGAACCCCTGCTCTAAAGAATGGATAATGAAAAGTTGGCTATATCACGTGTTTTTTTTTTTTCTAATGTACCATCTCAAGGTAGAAATTTACTTTAGAAACTCAGCAAAGTTACAAGGGAATCAATCACAGCTCCATCATCCATTAACACCATGTGAGAACATATAAACTTCTCAGTAAGCACCATGATACTCAGTTTCATTAATAGGGAATATATTATCTTCATCTAAAGGGGGTGGGTGGGAAATCTGCTAAATATCATAGAATGGCAAAAATTGGAAGGACCTTAGAGATAATTTAATACACACACACACACACACACACACACACACACACACACAGATGAAACTGAGGCTCACACATGTTCCAAGGTCAGATAAAGAGTGAACTGCAGAGCTAAGACTAGTCTCCTAGGTCAGGGTTTTACCCATTATATCATGTACTTAACAGTTCAAACCTAATGAGAGGAATATCCTCTATTTTAAATGATACTTTGAACAGCTATTCAATACCAAGAAGCTGCCGTTTCTGGAAACCCCCCCCCATTGTCACCCACATCTATTTTGCCACAAGAAACTCTGGTTTCTACAAACCTGGTGACTGTCTCCCAAATAGGGGATAGCACCCTTCTTAAAGAGCTGTTGCCCTTTGGGTTAGAATGCCACTGAGTCCTCTTCTAACTTAAATTCTGTGATTCTCTGAAATGTTTATTAATCCCAATGTGTACTAGGCTCCAAGGATGCAGAGACACAAATATAACAGAGCCGAACCTCAGGGAGCTTAGAGCTCTGAAGCATATCTCTGTTCATCTTAGCCTCCTTTTTGCACACAGTGCCTAAAGTCCCAAGTCTCAACCTGGGGTCTCTAGGGGAGCTCTCCTTGAGTTTCTTAAGCAAACTCCTGTCTCCAAATCTGTGCAGGCTCAGAGTGACTCTCTACGGTTTGCTTCCTCTCTGGGTCAGAGCTTAGGCAGCATCACTCTCACTCATATCAGTACTTTACCACAAGTATACGGGGCTGTGGGGGAGAGTCCAATCTCTCCCTGGTTGCCTTCCTTGTCCCACTGCAGGCTAATGGGCCAGATTATTCAAATTACTCGAAGCTGCTTCTAAAAAACGTTATAGATGAAGTAAGGTGGAGCAGAGTGATTGAGCCACCTCCTTCTGGAGTGAACACCGAAGTTGGGAAGGGGGTATGTGGGTGCAGTTTGGAAAATACACATACATATGCACATACACATATACATTTATGTATACTTCTGTATATGTGTAATATATTTGTGTATGTAAATACAAATATATTTATATGAATACAAGTCCTTTCCACTTCCTCTATGTTATTGCTTTGCTACTTAATCTGTAACCTTCCCAGTTCATGAACTTCCTCTGTCCATGTTTCCCTCATGTGTCTCTATTATGTTTGTCCAATGGTATATGCACCCTTAAGTTTCTGTAAAAATATTTTTAATGTGATCATGGTTGCAAAGTGCTTAGCACAGTTCCTGACACATGGTTAGCACTATATAAATGTTGTTGTTGCTGTTATTATTCTTTATTTCATTCCTCTCTCTATACTACACTCTGAGAATAGCTAATTACAGGAGCTTGGCCCTTTCTATTGCTGTCAGACAATCTGGGAGCAATGAATTTAGAGACAGAGGACCTGGGTTTGAATGCTGGCCGTTCTGCTTAGTAGCTGTGAGATACTGAAGGACTCACTACTCTTCGAAGAGCCTTTTTTCTTTTTTTGTAAAATGAGCTAGCTGGACTCTAAAATCACATCCAGGTTGACATTCTATGAGCCTCCAATGGTCCATGTGACTGCCCACAGGCAGGCACTGGATGTATAGTACACCCAACCCCTTATGAGTCATTTCCAGGGATTAAAGAGGACAAAGGGACTAAAGCAAACCTACATTGCAGATAGACACTATAGATGGTCTATCCTTTATCGATAGTAATGTGCTGGGTTGGGTTTTTTTTCTTCCATACCTGTGATTCTATCAGTATGGGGAACTCCTCCTGTGGTAACTCCAACCACCGATAGAAATCCATATATTACAGTTGCCTGGAGCAGTGAGACGTTAAGTGAAGTCACACAGCAAGTACGAGTCAGAACATCACAGATTTAGAGCCAGAAGGAACTTGAAGGGCATCTAGGCAACCCTCTCATTTTACAGATGAGAAAACTGAGGTACATACAGGTTGTATCTCGCTTGCCCAAGATCCCACAGGAGGCAGAGCTGGAATACAAACCCAGCAACCCTGATTCAAAATCTAGTACCTCTCGAGGCAGGATGTGAATCCAGTCTAGCCACTATGCTGTACTTTCCCTCCCTTCCTTTTCCTTCTTTCCCTCCATCCCTCCGTTTCTTTGCCTCCCCTCTTTCTCCACCTTACTCTCTCTCCCTCTCCATCCCCCTTCTTTGTTTCTGTTGGTCTCTATCTCTCTGTCACACACACACACACATACACACACACACACACACACACACTTATAACAATTTCTAACTGGTGTCCTCTTGCTCATACTGGTAGTTTTAGGTACTCAAATTGATCAGTGATTAAAAAGTCTCGGTCCTCCCTCGCATATCAAGTTTCTCTCTCCACCTGCGTTCACTCTGACTAGTGCCTCCACTTTCTTTTCAGCTCAGAGGTCTTCCAAAGGTCTCATCACTTGAAGATCAAAGATTCTGCATCTGCCAGTGTTGGAGTCACTTCTTTTTCAACTCCAGACACAGTCTATGTCCAGCAGGCCCCATGGAGTTGCACTTCCTTCCTGTATTGCAGGGACAAGCAAAGATCTTTGTACTTGGTAAGAAAGCATTGGCAAAGAGTAGCTTTAAGGAAAATCAGGGCAAAAAAAAGAGAGATTTCCCTGAAGGCCTATTTCTCCTGAGTGTGCAGAAAGAAATGTGCACAAGGCCAGAGGCACTTTCCAAACTCTTAACAGGAAAAAATCAATCTAGAATAGTTCTTTGTGTTCTTGGCCAATGATGTCAAAGCCCTCCCAGGAAAACGGAAGAAATATTAAAATTAAAGGTTGCTGGAGAACTGTGAAGGGGAATGTTATTTATGAACCTTAAAAAGGTCCTAAGAGAGAAAGAGGAGGCATCTCATTCTTTTGAAATCAATGGAAAAGGAAAAGGTCTAGTAATGGAAAGATCTTAGTTAATAAGCATTTATTAAGTACCTAGTACGTCAACATTGTGCTAAACATGGAGGAAATCTGGAAACCAGTTATAAGGTGGGCAGGACAACACTAGTCATTATTTTCATAATGGGGATAAATTTGTGCATTTGTCATGGAGTCACAGGATGGTGGAGATGGAAAGGATGCTAAGGTATAGTGGAAGGAGCACCAATCCAATCCAATGATCATTTGTTAATGATTCATTTATTCAACGCCTACTGTATGTAAGAAGACAACAATGAAAGACAACAAATGAAAATTAGTCCCTTTCCTCAAGGAGCTTACATTCCACTGGGTATTGGGGGAGAGGGGCAGGGGAGTTACAACACATAAATAATAAAAGAAAGTCATGATAATTGCAGAAGGTGAGAGAGAACGTTAGCAATTAAAGGAATCAGGAAAGGTTTCTTAAAGAAGCTGGTACATGAGTTGAGCCTTGAAAGAAACTAGAGATTCTGGGAGATAGAGGTGACTTACAGACTTACATTAATCAATCAATCAATTAGCATTTATTAAGCACCTATTGTACGCCAGCTGCTAAGGGCAAAAAATCCCTATCCTCAGGAAGCCCAGATTCTAGTTTACTTGTAGTCACAATAGAATATTAGAGCTGAAAGGGACCTTAGAGATCATCGAGTCCAGAAGTTCCCAAACTTATTTGGCCTACTACCCCCTTTTCAAAAAAAAATTACTCAGCACTCCCATGCAAATCTACTTTCTTTAACCCTTTAACATTGTTTTAAAATTTGTGTCATTTCAAAAAAATATATAAAATATTTTTAAATGACACATCTTAAATTTAATAATTTATTGTAAATTTGTGGGTTTTTTCCTGAACTGAAATTCTGATGTAATTGTAACTGTATAGTATCATATTGTAAACAAGTCATTGCACACATAAATTCTTGCCAGCGTGCTACATGCTCACCTGCCAGCACTTGCTTGTTAAGACTGTTGGGAGACTTGACCACTGATCAGTTATAACTTGCATTTTATGGGTTTATTGGGAAAATAATGCAATCACTACAACTTTAATGCTGTTACACAATGGATGACACATGTACGAATGGTTTTTCAAAATTTTCTTATGTTCTCTTCTTTCCTTATACTTCCACCACCCCCTTGTTTTTATTCAATGCCCCCCAATTTCACCCGAGGCTACTATCAACCCCCTGCATCGGTCCAGCGCCCCCCAGGGGCAGTATCACCCACTTTGGGAACCTAAAATAGTCTAATCCCCTCATTTAATTAAATAAGAAGACTGAAACTCTCCCAGAGAGAGGAAAGTTACACAGTGGTGTAGTGAAAGAACTGAGACTAGAACCCATGTCTCTTGGCTTCCAGCCCAGTTGTCCTTACTCGGTAACCAAATGATGTGAATGTGTGGAATGTGCAGCTCATGGATTCCTGTCTGCACTCTTTTCTAAGGCTTGTAGCTCTCCACAGCCTCTATTTATCAGTAAAGAACTTTGATGGCTTAAGTCACTCTGCAGATTCCTCATAGCTCAGCCAGCAGTCTCCTCATCTTGCTCAGCCAAGGTTTTGTTTATGGTCAGTGCCACAACTTGGGATTTGCTGCCCCAACCATGTACGGGACTTAGCTTAGTAGGATGACAATCCCTTGCATCATAGCATTATAGAAAGAACTATCAGCCTGAGGTCAAGAGAGACATGGGTTCAGATCCTGCCCAGACGCTTAGATCTAGGTGTCAACAGGCAACTAACTTAAGCTCTCTGAGCCTGAGTTGGCTCAAGGATAAGGTTGTAATAATAGCTACATTACCCAAGTCACAAGGTTGGCAGGAGCATCAGATAAGATACAAAGTACTTTAAAAGACTATAAATGCAATCTCTCTAGTTTACCATTCTCCCTATTACTATGAAAATGTGAGATATGGGAAGATTGTGAACAACATTCCTTAGATCACTTTGGTCTTGCCCTTGACCTTGAGTGGAATTCTGGGAAGAAGACATAGCATGGCAAAAGGGGAGCCCATGGCCATCAGAATGGTGGGTTTTTTTAGAATTTCATTCCCAATCCTTCAAGTGTAGAGCTGAGAAACAGCCAAGGGTGGAGAATTGAAGGTTGTGAGAAACTGATTGATATTAGATATTATTATAAAGACATAAAAGAATAATATAGTCTCTGCCCCTAAAGAGTTTATAGTTTAAAAGAAGGTCACAGCACATTCATAAAAGTATGAAGTGGCTTTTGTCTTTAAAGTAGTTCTGGAGACTTGTACTACAACAGGAGAAACCCTGAGTGGAGTCATTTGTTTGGGAAGGCAACAGAGTCAGACACAAGAAATCTGTGAATCCCTGGCCAAGGCAAAGAAGCTTCAAGAACATTCCCCACCTCTCAGAAATAGCTTTGCCTAAGGAGTAACCTGACAAGTATACCATGGTGGAACGTGTCAGGAGAGGACTAGCAGGAAGAACGGGATGATCTCTAAGGTTCGTCCAAACTCCAAATCCTATGCTAGATAGCAAGATCTTAAGGTAGAATTCAGTAAGAATAAAGGATTTTAGACAAAGTACTATAAAAAAGTATGTAGTAGAAGACAAGATAACAACGACAACAACAACAATAGTAATAGCGTTTATATAGCACTTTGAGGTCTGCAAAGCACTCTTTGCATGTTATCTCATTTGATCCACACAATAACTCAGAGAGGTAACTGCTAATAGTATCCTCATTTTACAGATGAGGAAACTGAGGCTAAGAGAGATTCAATGACTTGCTCATGGTCACACAGTGTTTGAGGGCAGCATTTGAACTAAGATGTAAGCTTTTTGTGAGCGGGGGTTGTTTCATTCTTAGTACTTGTATCCCCAGTGCCTAGTGCTTGTGTCCCTAGTGCCTGAAAAATACTTAACAAATACTTGTTGATCAATGAATTGATAACTTCCAACTCGGAAGATCTCAGAAACCATCCACAAGGAAGTGGTAACTGAGCTTGCAAAAAAGAGGATTTCAACAGGTAGAAGTCTAGTTTCGAGGATTGGGGACAGTTTGTATGAATTGGAAGCATAAGTGTTGAGAGGACAGGATAGGATCAGGAAACAGCTAGTAATCTAGTTTGGTCAGAACCAGGAATGCATGAAGTGGAATGTTGTGAGAAAGGAGGTGAGAGCCAAATTGCAGACAGTCTTAAATACCATGTTAAAGTATAGGTACTGTATCCTACAGGCAACAGGAAGCCACAGAAGGTTTATGAGCAGATCTACGCCTTAAGAAGAATACTTTGGTAGTTGTGTAGAAGAACGTGGATTGAAGAGAAAAGAGACTAAAAGCAGGGAAACCATAAGTGGAATGTGCCGCCAAAGGAGGTGGTGGATTTCATCTCATTCAAAGTCTTCAAGAAGAGGCTGCATGTCCACTGGTTGGGTGTGTTGTTGTGAAGACTCTTTTTCAGTAACTCTAAAATCCCATGAGTCTTTGAAATATAAAGAGAGCAGGAAAAAGATTAATGTAAAATTTAGCTGGAAAGGTAAGTTGGAGTCAGGCCATGGATAGCCTTAAAAGACACAAAGTTAAGAGTTAGTATTTAATTCTAGAATCAAAAGGGAACCATCCAAAGTCTTTGAACAAAGTAGCGACATGGTCAGATTTGTGCCTTAGAAAGGTTATTTTGGCATTGGTGAGGAGAATGGGTTGTCAAGGGGACAGATTAAAGTCAGGAAGATGAAATTATGGAAAACTGTCTAATCTATCTATCTAAAACTATTTATCTACTTGAAAGACCAAGTAGAAGGCTATTACAGTGGTTGTCTAGCTGAGAGATGATGACCACCTTACCTAGCCATGTCAGTGGAGAGGAAGGAAGGAATGGGAAAGGTATTGCAGAGGTAGGGTAAATGACAGTTGGCAAAGTGACTGTATAAAACTATGTAGTTGACCCTGAAAAAGTTTTTGAGTTTAAGATGTATTCTGAAAAATAAATTTGTGTATTAATTTATCAGCCTGATGAGTTTAAAATTCTGTAAACGGAATTCATTTCAGGCAAGGAAGGCCAGTAGCGAAGTGAAAAGGGGTGAAGAAAAGCACAGAAATGCTTCTGTTTTATACAATTCATGTGTTTCTAAAAAGTTATACATAATTTTTTTTGTAGATAAAACTCTACTTTAAACATGTAAGAGCACGTGATTATTTTAAAGTAACCACGAAGTAACTATTTTTGTAAAGTGAAGAATTCTTTGGCATAGAGAAATAATCCTTTAATTTATCAATTATGTAAATTTGGATTCTGTTAAATTTTGACTTAGGAAGAAAAGAGCTTCAAGAACTTTTGTATTTTGGCTTTAGCATAGATCCTAAAGGGACAATGTCCTCATTCAGTTTCTCAGATGTAACAGGAGGAAATGCAGAGACGCAAAGAACAACTAACATTTCCAAAGTTCTTTTGGTTTACAAATCATTTTAAATACATTATTTGTTCTTAATAACAAAACTATGTAATATATAATAAAATTAACATTGTAATACAGAGAAACATTGAAGGACATAAGAACTGATGCAAAGTGAAATAAACAGAACCAGGAAAACAATATACACAATAAATATAATGTAAATGGAAAAGACTACAATAACAAAATAATTAAAACTAAATGCTTTGAAATTATAATGACCAAATCTGACTCCCAAAGAAGAGAAGGTACCTATCTTTCATTTTTTGTAGAGGTAAAGAACTATAAGTATGAAACATTGCATACAATATCAGACTTTTTTGATATTTTGGTTAGTTTTGGTGAATATTTCCTCCCCCTTTCTCCTTTATTTATTTATTCTTTAATAAGGGGTGGTTCTCTGGAAGGGGGAAGAGAGTGATACCTTGAAAAATATGTTATTTTATTTTTAAAATTTACTTATTTTTATCATTCATTTTTTAAACATTTGAGTTCTGAATTCTCTCCCTCCTTCCCACTTGTCCCCCACCCATTGAGAAGGCAAGAAATGTGATATTAATTAG